ACTTGGGTATTTAAAGAGTGTTTGCTCAGGCAAACAGTCCTAAAGTACTGAAACTAGAGTCCTAGATCTCATGCATGTGTGGGTGAAATCCACATTAGGTTCCATTTCAGGAACCTCTATATTTTATGTCAATTATAACAAGCATATCTTAGTTCACTGTTTATTGTGCTCATTTTAGTAACTACAACAGATTTCCAAAGTGAAAAGGCTGAGTCCCAATTTAAGAAGGTATCTTTCTAGATGTCCATTAGCTTCTCTCAACAACTAATTAAAATTCCTCAGTGATTCAAAAAAAGATTAAGACTCATAACAACACTGCTTATCTAAAGGTGATTAAATAGGGAAAAACCCTCAAAAGTTTATGAAAAGATTCTACACCATATAAAAGGAAAACTCAGTGCGCAAGATGCAGAAGAAGGCTACCCTCTCAAACAAGATTTACCAAAGCCAATTTCTGAAAAAAGCATCAACTTGATATTTGAAAAAAAAAAAATCAAGAAAAGTGAACACTAAAAAAGAGAGAGAGATAATAGATGAAACATACAAATGAGAGGAAAGGAGGGAGCTGGCAGTCAGGTAGGTAAGAATCAAAGAAAGGTAGGCAAACTAAGGGGTATTTGTAAGGAAACTAAATGCAGAAAATACTGAGAAGAGATCACTGCTTCTGAGCCCCCCTCCTCCATTCAGTAGATCTGAGTAGGGCCTGATAATTGCATTTCTAATACATTCCATTGGACTACCAGATGGCAACATAGGCTACTTTGTGTAGTGAAAATGACCTGAGTTTTGAGGTCAGTCAGGATCTGATTCTGGCTCTGCCCTTTGCAGGCTCTGTTGACATCCTGTTCAGACTGTTTCCACATCGATAAAATAAAAGTAATACACACTTCATAAGTGCATTGTGAAAACTGGATGATATGATTAAGTAGCCAACAAAGTGTGGCCCTAATTAAGGTCCTTAATTAATACTGGTCCTCTTCACTTTGATTCCTCTAAGGATGCACCACACATTTGCAACCACAGGGTTTACTGTGACATGATTTAGCTATATCACAGGTCAAATAATTTCCTCCAAACCTAACAAATCATGCACATCTCTCTGCTACTAATAAAATCTTTACTGTTCATTTATAAAACTGGGAATAGTAGTATAATAGTATCTATTCTATATAATAAAAGGCTAATATGCAAATAGACTAAACGGCGGAACAACCGAACAACTGGTTGCTATGACGTGTGCTGACAACCAGGGGGCGTGGCAGCAGGCAGCAGAATGCGGGACATGGCGTGTGTTGGCCGCGGTGGGATGGTGGAGCAGGTGAGTAGGGGTGCCAGACCAAGGCGGGGTGCTGGTCACTGTCATCAGGGTGAGCCTCTGGTGGTTACTGAAAATTCTTTGCTCCCACGTGCCATGGTCCCGCCCGGCACTCACACCTGCTGCTGGCACTGGCCCTACTCGCACCTGCTGCTGGCACTGGCCCTACCTGCACCTGCTGCTGGCGCCTGGCACTGGCCCAATTGCTTGGCGCCCTCAGCATGTGCGAGCTGCAGCTGCTGGTCCTGACTGCCCCTGAGGGCTTCCTACTTCCCCCTGCTCCTGAGGGGCGATTGTGGCAGCAGCCACCGCTCGTACCTCCTGCTGGCACTGGCCTCAATCGCTCCACCCTGTCAGTGGGTGTGAGCGGGGCCGGTGCTGTCAGCGCCTGGGAGTGGCAGTGGTGAGAGCGGCAGTGGTGGGAGCGGGGCTTCTGGCAGACAGGGGTCTGTGGGCCGTGATCTGCCCCTGTGCCCACCGCAGCCTTGAGGCCCACAGTTCCTTTCAAGGTGCACAAATTCATGCACTGGGCCCCTAGTTTTGATATAATAGATAATAGTATATACTTCACAGAGATGTATCCATGAGGATTAAACTACATGTTAAGCACTTAATACAGTAACTGGCATGTGGGAGATAATAGTGTCAGTTTCCTTTCTCCTTTCCTTTAATTGGCATTTATCCACAGTATCTTCCAGACCAAGTTCAAAAGCTCACTTAGCCCAGGACACCTCAAATCAATCTTTCCACCTTAATCAGATTGCTCTCTTCTGTGTCACATTTAATTTGAAGTTGATTATTTGGCTTGAGTATTGGTAAGAATACTGTACACTCTATTTAAACTACTGTATTGAATGTTCAAGGAGATAAGTAGAAGACTGTTCCCTGACCTTGAGGAACTTGGTTGAGGAGATAATATACATGAAAAGTTGAATGGGAATGAAAAACAGGGTAGAACAAATTATACAGAAAGTAAATGTGGTATAAGTTTTGAGATTATTGTGGCTGGTCTGTTTTTATTTTGTTCTCAGGAACTAAAGAATTACTAAGAGTTACAAGAGACCTCTCATGTTATGGCTGAGAAAATAGATCCAGAGATCTAAGTGGTCTAGGAGCACAGCTCTGGAGTGATGTTTCCAATTATTTTCAAATATATTAATCAGTCTATGTTTGCTCTTTTTAACTGGGCAGTTTTATCTAGCTAGTTAAACAGTGTTCTGAAGCCAAAATGTTTGAGTTTGAGTTCTGGCTTTGCCAGTTACTCTCTGTGTGACTTATCTCTATGCTTCAGTTCCCCATCTATAAAATGAGTATAATAATAGTACCTTATTCCATAGGGCTGTTGTGAGGATTAAATAATTAAAAACAGTGTTTTTTTTCATTATAATTATTAGCTTCTGAGAGAATGAAAGGCAAAAGTCTATTCTTTTAATGTTTTTTTATCTATTTTTTATGTATTTGCTTTAAAAATTTTATTGTTGAAAGTATTACATTCCCCCCCTTTTTTTCTCCCATTCACCCCTTATTGCCCGCCACCACCCTCCTGCTGTCTATATACATGGATTATGCATATATGGATATAAATTTTTTGGTTGATCTCTTCTCCCCACCCACTCAACCCCACCTTCCTTCTGAGATTCAACACTGTTCCATGCTTCTATGTCTCTGGATCTATTTTGTTCAACAGTTTATTTTGTGCATTAGATTCCACATTATCTTCTTTTTCATAACCTCCGCCTTCAGATGCTGATCAAAGCATCCAGGTGGGTGCTCATAAATGCATGTTATCTGCCTTAATCCTATCGGATAAAAATAAGTTGTTGTGTCTCAGAAGTGAGATTTGGGATTTGTGTAAATCTGGCCTAGTCTGGTAACAGGAAAGTCTAGAAAAGTAAAAAGATAGCAACAGATTCTAGGACCCAACAGAGCTTCTTCTTTAAAAAAGACAGTCAAGATCAAGAGATGCAGAGAAAAATGGAGGTCAATGAATCTAATTCTAAATGAGCTTTCCCATCTATTTTAAGATCTATTCCAAATTTCCTTAGACAAAATCTAGCCTTTTAAGGACAGTGCAGAGAACATGCCTCCCTGGGCTTGCTTTGAGGGACTGTTTTAGCAGGTGCTGCGTTCTACGTGGAGGTGGCTGCGTGAATTTGTGAACTGCGGTGACAACATTGACTCCCTTTGGAAGAAAAGATGTTGTCTTTACACAGGAAGTTTAACTTCAATGGCACTACTTGAAACGAGGAGGAAAAGGATAAGAGGGAGAAGGAGAAAAAGAGGGGGAGGAAGGAGAAGCATCAGCAGCAACACCGCTGCCAGCTCAGTTCAATATTCAGATTAGAAAAAGCAAGCACCATTTTTTTTCCTGGAACATCCTTCTCCACGCTCAAATGCCTGCTGAAAAAAATCTGGGACGAACTACAAGCTAATAGGGCTGTCGGAAAATTAGGGATGGGGAGAAATAACCTATATTCAGGGGTTCGAAAAATCATGGATTTTTTTTCTTTTTTTGCGGGGGTGGGGGGTGGGGTGGGGGACGCAAGGATTTGACATCATCTATCAGGAAATCCAGGGATGGAGAAGGCTACCGACCGGCCTTGCAAATCTTCTGCATTTGATAGATGCTAATCACATTGTACACCTCCCACCCTCGGCACTCAGACGAAATCAGGGTGAAATAAGCACCAAGGAGAGAGAGAGAGAGAAAATAACAGGTCAGCCTGGGGTTCTTGTGTGGAAAGGGATTAGCATCAGCAAGGGTGGAAGAATTAAGGGTCACCGTCTGCAGACGAGCCCCAAAGTTTGGGGTCGGACCTCCTGGTACCCTAGGATCTGTCCTACACGCACCCTTTAAGTTTCTCGGTTTGAGTCTCGCCTGTAGATTCTCAAACGGGACACTGTATTAGGCGTTCTCACAGCGCACAGCTCAGAGCTGACCGCTGAGCCGGTTCTCAGTAACATCTGGGAGCAAAGTCGGCTTTTGAGGTTGGGGACGGAAGGATACCGGCTTTATTTAAGCTAGGGTGTGGCCCTTGTACTAACTGCCAGCAACATTTTCCCGATCGCGCTCTGTCTCCCTCCTTCCGCCCAGGTGACGTCGGGAAGCCCCGCAGGACCCGCTAGGGGTTCCGCGGATAAGCCGCGTCCTTCAAGTGTCAGTCTCGATCCGTCTGGAAACCACAAACCCCAGAGTCCCTGGTGCAGGGAGGTCAAGCCGCAAATAAGATGGCTCCAGAAGGGTGGACCACGCAGCAGGGTGGAAACCCTAGTTCCTGGCAGTTTCTTTACCGGATGTGTTTAAATAACCGAATCCCCACCAATGCACCACCCCGCTAACCACCTCCGAGGCCGAGGAGGCCACCGCCACCGCCTCGCTGGCTCCTCCAGGGCCATCCTGGGAATTGTAGTCCAGCCGCTGGGCTGCGCCGAACTACCTTTCCCATGGTGCTCAGCGGATCGGGCGAGATCAACGTTCTTTTCTAAAACTTTCTCCGCTCGGAGACCCCCGGTTTCCCCTCTCCCCTTCTTTCTGACGACCCCTTCCCGTCCATCGCGACAGAACGGCGGCCGAAAGAGGGCCCTGACCCGTTGCCGCGTAGCCGCGCCGCCGCGAGAGGCACTTCCGGCGGCGGTTCACTTCCTGGTTGGGTGGCTGGAGTCGGGCGGGAGCGCGCGCGCGCGGGGGAGGGGCGGCGGGTCAGTCTCCGCCGGGCGCTCCGGGGATCAGCTGGTGGGCGGGCGGGTGCCCGACGCGGCCCCGGCTCTCGCTGCAGCGCCGCCTCCTTTCCCCGACGCAGGCCGCCCCGCACCGTGACAATGTTGCGGGGCTGGTAGCTGAAGCGCCCGCCGACGAGCCATCTCAAGTGGGTGCCGCCGGGATGCTGCCTCGCGGGGCGGCGGGGAGACCGGGGAGCAGGGGGGGCAGTGCCCGGCTGAGTCGGCGGCCCGAATTCCTTCTTTTTCCGAGCCCTGGGCACAGGGTCTCTGGTTTGGGGGTTGGGGGACGCGTTTTCAGCCCCAGCGTTTTTCTCGTTTAGAAAATTCACGGAGCGTTTCCCCAGGATGATGGCTTGTGCTGACCCTAGGACTCAGTAGTTGCCTTTTTAAGTGTGTTACTGATTCATCCTCTCTCTCTCCCTCTGTCATCACAGGTTTAAACTTATACGAATCGTTCTCTAGAGGAGGAGGGGACGGACCGCCGCGCGATTGACACGCATATTCCTATAGGCATCCTCCCTCAGCCCCCACCCCCACGGCCGGATTCGGGTGGCTCCTCTCCGAGCTGAAATCCGAGAAGAAATCCTTGGATCTCTTGTTTTCTTTAAAAAAGAAAAAAAAAATCTAGAAGCTGTCGGTGTTTTTGTTTTACTGCTTCCCCTTCGCAAGATGAAGAAGTTTTTCGACTCCCGGCGAGAGCAGGGCGGCTCTGGCCTGGGCTCCGGCTCCAGCGGCGGAGGGGGCAGCTCCTCGGGCCTGGGCAGTGGCTACATCGGCAGGGTCTTTGGCATTGGGCGGCAGCAGGTCACGGTGGACGAGGTGCTGGCGGAAGGTACGGTGGGACGACGGGCGCCTCAATGAAAATCTTGCGCTGATGCAGCAAGATTCTGTTTTTCCAGTTGTTGCCTGTATGAATGGGTTTTACCAGGTGACCCTCCCTTCCTCATTCCCTCGCCCTGTGAATCATTGCCCTTGAGAAATTTAAAACTGAGCTTTGAGAGTGACAGGGTTTATGGGGGCAGGGGGAGGTTGTCCGGCAGGACATTGTTTACCTCAGTGGCCTTTTCGTTTATTTTTTTAAAAAAAAAACATTGACAAACCAAATCTTGTTTGTCTCACTGAATTATGAGGATCAGACGAGAAAACCTACGTGTGAATTTGGGAAGCTTCACATCAGGGGAGGGTGGTGGGCTTGTCATCCTGCTAAAACTTGAAATAATGGATGTGAGGGCTGAAGAGAAGGTTTTCTCCTCTTTCTTCTGCCCAACTTTCCCAGTGGCATGAGCTGAGGCTCTTGGTGGGTTTGACAAGGTTTCCTGACCCAACTGTAATCAGGTCCCCAGGATGTAGGTGAGATAACAGAAATTACATGCAATGAATGTAGTTATTTTGAGACCAGTCAGTAGGCCCTCCCTTCAGTTTTAGGTTAAAAATTTTTATTTTTTAATGCCGAAAGAATTATTTGAGAGGGGCATCTTATTTTTGCTTTTCCTCTATTGGAGATGTTATTTAGGTCTGCTGTGTTTGCTGTGTAAATTCCGTATCTATATCTAAATCTACATCTTTATTCCCCAGGCCTCTGGAAATCTTTGTATGTCTCTTTTGGTAACCTGAACCTCGACCTTCATAATTATGCCAGACTCATACTCTTTACAGCCCATTGCCTGCTTAGTGTGCTTTTATTTTTAATAAAAGCAGCGATTTCTTTGGCACACAGCTATTCAAACTAATTGGATAGGGCCAACCTGCTATAGGTTGTGTTATCTGCTGAGAAGGGATGGGGGATGGTGGAGGCCTCTATTACTGCAACATGGTGGTGGTGGGGGACCTGTTTAACTGGGGAAGGAGCCTTTTTGCAAGCTAAGCTGGAAGCAAGAGTTCCAACCCAGCCCTGGGAAATGCCTGTCATGGTCAGTGTTGCAGAGGGGTGGGTTGGGAGGAGGAAGGAGCTGTGTTTGGCTCTCAGCTTGTCTAAGCAGTAGATTCAGCTGGGCCCAGTTTTCTGGGGTTAGGGTTGAAGCCTTACTTTAAAAACACCTTTTTAAAAAAGGTCTGACAACGTCCTTGTGAAATTGTTGCTCTTTTCCATTTTCAGTGCTGCTCGAGCTGTACTTAATCTGGGGCCTGAGTCACTGTCCCTCTGGATCTTTCCTTATGGGTTTTGGTGCAGGATGGGAGATGCTTCTGTGCCCGCTGCCAGATCTGCACCCTTAAGTCTGATCTGTCTCTTTCATCCCTGTGCCAAAGCCCTTGACTGCAGGGGGATGGAGAAAAGGAGGAGTATGTGAAAGACAAATTGGGAGGAATGATGGGGTGCAGAGCTCTTTCCTTCTCTCAGAATGGCCTCTGCTGACCCAGGAGCATTTTGTTCAGCTCCCATATTGTCTCATTGCAGACAGTGCTACCCTAAGCAGTGCCTGTTCTCAGATTCTGAGTGATGGGAAAGAGAAAAGGAAAAATTGGTCTTTATTGTCAAGGCTGCCCTTCCCTCCCCAGAATTCATCCCTGAGAACTGCATATCATGCATTATATTTTAAAGTGGAACTTAGGGCTTGCAGTTCTGCATTCATTCATTCATTTGTTCATTCGGCAAACAATTGAGTGTCCATGATGTGCCAGGCACTGTGCCAGGCTCTGAGGATATGATATAGAACTAGATGCTGGAGTTTATAAACTCCAGCTTTGAGAGATGGAAAATAGCCAATTACAATGGAGTTAAACTTAGGGTGGCCCCCAATTTTAAAGAACCAAGAATTGTTTTCTGCAGGAAGTAACTGACTGAAGAATGAGTAGGAGTTAACCAGGTGTGGTGACATCATGGACACAGACTCAGAGTGACAAGAGAGAGAGTCTCATGTAAAACCAGGTCTGGCAATGCTGCCCTCTTTATGTTTTTTGACTAGAATTGAGTTTGAATTTGTGGCACTTAGATGTATGTGGCTATGTGGGAGCCAGTATACAAAGTATTTGTGTAGCACCTACCACTAGATTCAGAGAGTATGGATATAAGAAGATCTAAAGTGTAATGTGTGCTTTTAAGGAGCTGTCAGTGAATTTGGGAGCACAAGGCAAACATTCACACATACCATAGTTTGGTTACCAGCACTGTAGAGTCAGGCATATCTAGGTTCAAATTCTGGATTTGTTCTTTACTAGCTGTGAAACCTTGGATAAGATGTTTTAAACCTCTCTTGAGTCTCTGTTTTCCTATGGGCAGTTCTTAAAGCATGGAGCCTGGATCAGGAGTGTTAGCATTACCTGGGAGCTTATAAGAAATGCAAATTCTCAGGCCCACTCCATAAGCCATGAGTGTAGGGCTTTAACAAGTTCCTGTAGTGTTTCTGATGCAAGCTAAAGTTTGATAACCACTGTCCTATGGAGTGGTCTTGAAGATTATATGAGGCATTGTATGTAAATTATTTAACTTCTTTTCCCCCAGGTGTTCAATAAATGGTAGCCTCTAATTACCAGCAACATTGCATCATAAAGGGGGTTGGGGGTGGCAATGTGAAGGCTAGTTTGGCTATAGCAGTCTTCAGGAATTACCCCCCCCCCCCCGCCCCTCCCCTCCATTGTGGGTGGACAGAATCAGGTGTACTTTGCAGTTAGCTCCTCAAAGGGTCAACAGATGTTTTGGGTAGCCATACTCCTTCCTGGACCCTCTTCTGTTTGAGATATCAAGTGCTGACCTGGACACCAGCCCAGCCAGAATTGTCTGAGGTTGATGAGAGTTGTGCATCAAGTGTCCAGGGCAGTGGCCAGGAAGTTCAGGGACTTATTACCACCACATCCCATTGATCATCCCTTTTCCCTAATGTGGGTTGGTACTGGTCTATGCCTTATAGTATGGAATTGCAAGCACCCCAAGGAGGATGTGTTGGAGCAGTGGTTCTCAACCTTCCTAATGCCGCGACCCTTTAAAACAGTTCCTCATGTTGTGGTGACCCCCAACCATAAAATTATTTTCGTTGCTACTTCATAACTGTAATTTTGCTACTGTTATGAATTGTAATGTAAATATCTGATATGCAGGATGTATTTTCATTGTTACAAATTGAACATAATTAAAGCATAGTGATTAATCACAAAAACAATATATAATTATATATGTGTTTTCCGATGGTCTTAGGTGACCCCTGTGAAAGGGTCGTTCGACCCCCAAAGGGGTCGCGACCCACAGGTTGAGAACCGCTGTGTTAGAGGAAGGCAGGAGAATGCCTGGCCTGTCATCTCTCCATCAGCAGCATCAGCCCCGCTTGCCTAGTTGCACTAACTAGTCTAGTGGGGGCTTATTTATCTTGGGAAATGAAGAATTTCTTGGGAATTTATCTAAGTCATGAGTTCAGAGGTTATCTCTAGGCTGGGTTCTGGGGAGGATATTTTCTTTCTAGCTTCCTCAGCAAAGATGCCACAATGAGATGTGAGATCATGACTGATGTAATGGGCATGTGATGTCAAGGGAATATTTGGTTTAAGTTTCCAGAATGAGCTCAATGGGAAAATTGGAACAATGCTTAAAGAAGAAATGAGAAGCTGTGCTTTTATCCACACCTCCTTAGCTATATGAGGCCTTATATCTAGCTTTAAACCATAAATAAATGTTTGTTGAATACCTCCTGTGTCCACAACAACATTCCAGAACTGCTTTAGTTCTATATAAGGTGGCTCTTCAGAACAGTTTCTCACCTACATTAAAGGAATCCAGGTTTAGGGCTAATGAGAATTACTGAGTAAGTCTCCAAATCAGTAAACTTTGACAATTTCTCCTACCTACAACGCAAGGTACTGAGGTTTTAAAATGTGTGTGAAACCACCTAAAGAAAATCAAGCATACTAGTACATAGATACATACATGGCACATATTTATAACATGTTGGCGGTGTCAATATATTGCATGCATGTATTCATTTAGTGTGCATTCCTTAGTGCCTTCCTTGTGGCAGGCACTGTATTAGGTTCAGAGCTACATGATGAATGAGACTTAGGCTCAGCTCTTACGGAGCTCATAGACCAACAAATAACCCTAAGGTAATTGTCCAGCATTTAGCATGGCCTTTGGTGGATATTAGGGGTTAAAAAGATGTTAAGAAATGAAAAAGAGAAATGGCTTGGGGTTGAGGATTTATAGGTGAGTGCAATTTGAACATGGAAATTGCCCAGAAGATGTTCCAGATGAGGGTTACCTGAGGTCTTGCAAGCAGAGAGAACAACATATGCAAAAGTGTGCAATGGTGAAATGGTATGATTTCCTGGAATACTGACTAGTGTTATAATTTTGGTCAGTACAAGTTTCCCTTTCAGAATCAAGGGAAGAAGAACATGGAATGGTAGAAAGAAACTTTTTTTACAATTCCCTGGCTGTGCTTGCTGCTTGCTTTCTCCAGTGGCCCTGGGTCTTTTGAGTAACTATTGAATAGGTATCTAGTATGCACTGCTCTCCTCTGGGCCTCACCTAATTGTGGGGCAAGGAGTGGTCCTGAAGGTTCAAAGAAAAGCCCAAGGTTGAAGCAGAAGCAGGTCAGGGGGTGAGATGACCACTGTTTCAGAAAGGAGTTGTCAGGGGAGAAAATGACAATGTTTGACCAGAGCAGAAGGTATGTTGGAGAGAGAAGAAAAGGAAATAAGATTCTGGAGAGCTTCAGTACCAGGCAGAGAGGTTAGTTAGAAGCATCTGAGGCCTTCTCGTGACGAAAACACCAATTTAATCCTTCCCACTTCAGATGTCTTTGCCTTGCTGGGAAGTCTGGTTTTTTTAGTGGCAACTGCAGATTTTCAGGGGGTGGTTTGTGAATGGTGTCTTCTTCCTGGTTTCAGGCATGATGACAGTTACAG